TAAATCTAGCTGTATGTAAACTGCTTGATCCGACGCTTAAAGTATTGCGACCAATGTTCCGTGGAACCACTGAGATAGCTGGTCTCAGCGCCTTCGCCCAGTAAAACTAAATTCAGTGCAATTTGAAACCCCCATTTTCAAGATGGATGCAGGCATTATAATTTGATACGTAGCAGTAAAAAACTGACAACATAAAATGAGTATGGTCAATCTACCCATCCATTTCAAGTTCCCCAAGGTCTCAATGCTCAGCTGATTATTGTCAAATTACACAGCCCCGTCCCGATTTGTTGTAGTAAACAACAAGCCCTTTGCCCAGGTAAACGAAAGCTAATGCACAGATGCAAGCACAGGCCAGTCAACTTTTACGTCCGGTTACTGGTACGCGGCATCCGGTTTCGGATTTGCCTGTCACTGTCGCTAGCCACAGGACGCCTGCGCCTACAGAGGGATCATGGGTGGCTTGCGCTGCACCAACCACAGCTCCAACCACACAACCATTATCCAGTGTAAACCCGAAGGAGACGTGTGGATGGGACCCACGTATCATCAACAGAGCCGGCCTACACTCCTTCACAGGCAAACACAAGCACGTTGTATTTGGGAATCAAGCGCACACAAGGCGGTGGCTGGACCGTAGTCCGCTCCACACTGAGTGAATGGAACCACTCTTTGATCCTAACTCGTCCACAAGGACCGTGCACCCCATCCTCTCCAGCAACGACCAACTGTCTCCTAGAACCAGTATGCACGAGGTAGTGGATAACAGACAGGCAGGCACGTTGTCAACATGCACATCAAGCACAGCCACACCGGGGATGTCGAGAAACAGCCAATCACTTGAGAGAAAGAAAACAAAGAAAATAAATCAAAGAATGCATAAAAACGTGACAAAATCTTAAATTAATGGGCATATGAAATAAGTTGTTAACAAAAGAATCCGAAATAAGTTCACGAGGTCAAAAAGTATCGTTTACGGAAATACCACAAACACGAAAAGGTTATCAAAATAAACCACAATTTGCTTAAGCGACATGTGCAACTGTATAGACGAAAGTAGAGGTAAACATTAATATGAGAAGAAAAAGCATTAGAACAAAATTGAAAATCCACTACCAAAAACAAACAGACTTAGCATGCAAGCACGCGGTTAGTAAATCGAAGGCAGCTTACCTACAAACGCTGCGCCGGTTGTCTACGTTCTCTGCAGGACTCGTCGTCGCTTTCGTAGTGGTCCCGAGTGGCCTCGCTCATGGCTCACTAAGCCTGCCTGACTCAGGCACTCGCGACCGCATGCGCTACAGTACCATGCGCTCGATATCGATGGAGAACAACCCATCGGTGCTTGCCGCTTCCGCACTTGCCGCTTCTTCTCTGCATGCATGAGGGATTTCTCCTGCACCTCGGCAAATGCCTTCGTGATCAGATCGCGCCATGCACGCCGATCAATCGCCTTCCATTCCCGTGATCTGTAATCAAGATTAGAACGTGAGAGGCTCACTTTAATCATGCCCTGGTAACGTAACTTTGGTTTCCCCACGTGCCGCTTCCCTATACTCAGCTGACCATATAAGAGTTGCTTCGGTATCCGCGTTGAATCCATACGACACACATGACCGAACCACCTCAGGTGTCTCGGCGAAAGTATGCAGTCCACTGCATACATTCCAATTAGGACCAACACATCCGTGCCCAAAACTCTGTCGCCACATCTGATGCGCAAAATTCGTCGCAAACACTGCTGATGGAACCGCTCGAGATATCGCATATCCTGCCGGTACATCGTCCAGGTTTCACTGCCGTATAGAAGATTGGACAGCACCATGGATTTGTACACCGTCAGCTTCGTGCCAGTGGTAAGCTGATGGTTCCATCGCAATGAGGCTAGGCCTTACCGTGGTGCGATGGTTTGTGTGCCTCAGCGATCCATTGAGCTATGCTGGGTGGTGCATTTTTGCACCTTCAGAGTCACTCATACCAGATTGGTCAATGGTTAGAGGCCAGACAAACTCAGCCTCCTGGTCCTCCATGTTGGGGGTTGGAATGAGGGTGGCACCTTATTCCTTAAAACGGACTCCTTGTAGCCAAACGCCAAACCCGCTGCCTTGCGGTCAGGTTTTTGAACCAAAGGCTTTGGTTGAGAACTCTAATCGTTCTCCTGTCTAGGCCTGGGCAACCTGACAGTATCCTGCCCACGCAATACCATGAATATTATCTCAAACAAATTGCTGATGCTCTGGCCACCGCAGAGGATAATCAACGGTGCCCTATCTGCTGCATCGAGCAGGGTGGATAGGGGTTTGGATGCTACTGCTCAAGCCTTCCCGTCTTCTTATTCCCCATCTTACGCTTTTTCACTCTTACCGTCCCCTTCCAACTTCACTTATATCCCCCAGTTTTCAACCCCCCGATTCTTGGCCCTCCCCAACATGCTTTGCTAGGCATTTATCTTCTAATTTCAACTCACATGTGAACGCGGAGCGTCACTCCTCTCCTGTCGACAAGCCCATGTCCAACCAAGCGGTCCATTCCAGTTCATCGGCTTCCATTTGGAGCCCTCGATCCTCCTTCAGATTGGCATGCCTTAATGTACGCACACTACTACAGATCGGTCAACAGGCAGCACTTGCCCGAACATTAGAGACCCTCTCGATCGATATCTGCTGCTTATCAGAGACCCGCCTGCAAGACTCGAGCTCTGTGCTCACTCTGCGATCCTCTTTCAGGTGACGCAAGCAGTATTTTCTCAGTGCGCCTATCCGGTGACGATGCAGCTTCGAACACCGGCCAAGCTGGTGTTGGCATTGCCCTGAGTCCCCGGGCTGAAGCTGCTCTGGTTGATTGGATTCCAATCAGTAGCCGGATGTGTGCGGTCCGATTGGCTGGCTCGTTTAAAGCTTCGAAGTCGCGCGGGACTAATAGGTGTCTATTCATCATCGCTGCCTACGCGCCCACAAACTGTAGCGATGATTCGGTAAAGAACGACTTCTACCGCCAACTGACTCAGCTCCTTCGCCACAGAAGAAGCACGGACACTGTTGTGCTGGCGGGGGATATGAACGCACAAGTTGGAAAGTTGTCCACTGATGAAATGCATCTGGGCGGTCAGCACGGTGTAGGCTCCCGTAATGATAACGGTGAGCGGTTACTTCATTTGTGTGAAGATGCTCGCTTATTTCTTGCGAGCACTAATTTCCGACACAGCACCCGCCGGAGGGTGACTTGGCGCCCACCAGCCTCGAACCAGCCTTGGACGCAGATCGATCACATTGCGATAAGTTACCGCTGGAGAGGCTGCATCCAGAATTGTCGCTCGATTTGGAGCACATGTGTGGACACCGATCATGCACTTGTATGTGCTGACATGCGGATGCGCTTTGGCGGACGCCCACGACGACGCTGTGAGCGCATTGACACCAGCCAACTGACAAAGCCAGCTGTTCTGAATGCATATCGAAGTACGCTGACATGCGAGTTGAGTAATCGCTCACTGGAGACAATTGATGGTCACTGGTCACATGTTCGCCAGACCTTACTAGCAGCAGGAAAATCCTCATGTGGTATGTCTAAAAGCCAACATGGACATTGGGTCTCTTCTCGGTCTCTGGAACTTATCGACGCTCGCCGGCATATCCCGGCTGGAAGCGAACACAATGAAACTCGCAAAGAGCTCTGGGCAAAACTCCGTGCTAGCCTGAAGAGAGACCGCGAATCTTGGTGGTCTCATCGTGCGTCAGAGATGGAAGTGGCCGCTGCCCTTGGCAACCATCGTAAGTTATTCCGTCTGATACGGGAAACGGGCAGCAGGAGACCTGGTGTTAGTGAAACAATTTGTGATGAGAGTGGACAGCCTATCCACAATTTGTCAAAACGTTTGGAGCGTTGGGCTGAGCATTTTGAAAAGCAATTTAATCGGCTAGAATTGTTCGATTCTTCGCCGGCGAGTGATCGCCCTGCTCCGTGGGCTGTCCCTTTGGATCCACCCTCTCGCTAGAAGTCGAACGTGAGATCGGACTGTTGAAGTTGAACAAAGCCGCGAGACCAGATGATCTTCCTCCAGCCCTCTTCAAATTCGGAGGCTCTGCTCTTATTGATGCTTTACATGAATTACTAGTGAAACTGTGGGAGCAGGAGACTGTCCCAACCGACTGGAGCCGCTCCGTTATTGTTCCCATCTTCAAGGCGGCTCGCGCTCGGAATGCGGCAACCATAGAGGAATCAGTCTGATCTCCATCGCCTCCAAATTACTCGCCTCCATAATTCTTCACAGGACTGACTGGCGCTCGTGAAAGCCAGATTCGTGAGGAGCAAGCCGGGTTTCGTCGGGGTCGTGGCTGCATCGACCACATCTTCACCTTGCGTCAGTTGTTGGAGCACCGCCACACATATTAGCGGCCCACCGTTGTCGTGTTCCTCGACATCAAAGGTGCCTTCGATTCGGTTGATCGATGTGCCCTTTGGAATTGTCTACTCAGGAAAAGTGTGCCCGAGAAATATGTAAATATTATCCAAGCATTATATGCGCGTAGCACGGGCAGAGTGAGGGCTTACGGCAAGCTGTCGCCACCCTTCAATATCTCCAGCGGTGTGAGACAAGGATGCCCGCTGTCACCTTCCTCTTCAACTTCGCTATTGACGAAGTCATGGAGTTTGCATTTACAGGACATGACTTGGAAGGTGTGGAGCTACTCCCAGGAGAACGACTTCTTGACTTGGAGTATGCAGACGACATTGCCCTCATCTGTGACAGCTCCCAGACGTGCCAAGCCGCGCTGGACAGATTAGCACTGGCTGTCAGCCGCTTCGGGCTTTGCTTTGCACCATCGAAGTGCAAAGCGTTCCTCCAAGATTGGCAGGGATCGCCTCCTGCGCTGACCCTTGGTGGGGATCAGCTAGAAGTCGTTCAGAAATTCAATTACCTGGAAAGTTGTATCAGCGCCCTTGGGATCGAAGACGAGATCACGAACCGTATAGCGAAAGCTCGAAGTGCTTTTGCTAACCTTCGCCACCTTATGGCGGCGGCGCGACATCACTCTCGCCCTGAAGGGTAGAGTGTACAATGCAGCGGTACGTTCGACCTTACTGTACGGTTGCGAAACCTGGCCCCTAAGGTCGGCGGACATGAAGAGGCTAGTTACGTTCGACCATCGGTGCCTTCGCAGTTTGGCTCACATCTGGTGGGAACACCGCGTGAGTAACGAGCGTGTTCGACGCATTGTTTACGGCCCAGGAAAAGGATCTGAACCGCTCAGCACCGTTATTTCCCGCACCAGGCTCCGATGGCTCGGCCACGTGTTACGCATGCCAGCCCACCGACTCCCTCGACGTGCGTTGTTTGCTCACCGGGGATGTGGGTGGAAGAAGAGGAGAGGTGGCCAAGCGATGACTTGGTCCAGAGGAATGAAGTCCCTCACTTCGGAGCTAGCCTCGGTTGGAGCGTCACGGCTCCCTGGTTGGGGTCCAAAAGACGGTGAACACGTTTGGCTGGATACACTTGCTGACATGGCAAGGAGCCGACCTCAGTGGCGTTTCTGCTGTGAGTTTCTTTGTCCCTCCCCATCCCTTTTAGCCTCCCCCCTCCATCTAGGATCTCATATTCCAGGGTAAAACATAATAAGTAAATAAAATAAATTTTCTTTTTGCCTAGAAGCTGGCTGGAAGCTTACCGGAAAGATGCCTATCCGTTGCAGGTAGCTCAGCTGGCAATGCAAAACCGTTACAGCTATTTTTTCATTTGTGTATTGTGTTACACGTATGTATGTATTTATTTCCTTCATGTGTTGCGGCACAATAGCGGAGGTGTTTTTCCACCGCTAGCTGATGCGTATAATGATGATGTTGAAGCTGATGGTTGTTCCACACTCGGTACTCAAGCTTCCCGAATGCCGCCGATACCTCCGACACGCGGATACGCATCTCGCTGTGTATCTGCTGATCAGTCGACATCACACTCCCAAGGTAACAGAAGCGGGAGGTGGTTAACAATATTTAAACAGCAATGCTGATTCGCGGCAATAATGAAGACCGCACCTCCGGTGAAGGCTGAAAGAGACAGACAGATTTGCTTGTGTTGATGGTGAGCCCGAATTTGGCCGCTGTCGAATCCAGAGCACTAATCATGTGTTGCAACTCATCCACGCTGTGTGCAAACAACACACAGTCGTCAGCAAGCAACAACCTGCTAATAGTTGTCCCACAGACTAGAGTTCTCACACGGAAACGACGGATGTTCAACAACCCACCATCAATACGGTGATCCAAACGGACACCGTAAGTATAAGCCGATTCAAAAGCGCAAGACATCATGGTATGAAGATTTGTATTAAACAGGGCAGCAGCTAAGACACAGCCTTGCTACACACCAGTGACAACAGCAAATCCATCTGAGGTCTCTCCACTCAGCATCATCCTCACTCGCATACCACTGTGCAGACATTTAATTAAACTTACAAACAAACGCGGGCAACCAAACTTACCCAACACCAGCCACAATGCCTCGCGGTTCACCGTATCAAATGCCTTGGTGAAATCAACAAACAGCGAGTACAAATGCTGATGTCGAGCTCTGCATTTCTCCTGCAACTGACGAGTCACAAACACCATATCCATGGTGCTGCGACCCGAACGGAATCCACATTGCTCTTCCGCCACGTAAGGTTCCACAACCTGACTGACGAGGCGGTTGAGCAGGATTCGGGCAATCACCTTGCCCACACAACTCAGCTAGTTGATGTCACGATAATGCTTGGAACATTGCTGGCTCCCTTTGCACTTGTACAGTGGTAGCACGAGGGCATCCCTCAGCTCAGGAGGCACCGCCTCCTCAAGTAACACGCGTTGCACCAAGTGGTGCAGCGCAGTAAACAACGCGGGTCCGCCGTGTTTCAATACTTCAGGCGGGATCCCGTCGGCCCCAGCACACTTGCCGTTTCGCAGCTGAGCATGTGCTCTCTGCGCCTCATCCAGTGTCGGCGTGTTCGCCAGACTCGTCATCACATCGTGTTGCTTCAGGCAGTTCAATGCAGGCCAGTCGATCTCTGAACGGTTGTCCAAGAGACAGTCAAAGTGTTTCCGCCAGATCTGCATTATGTCTGCCGTCTGCGTGCAGCCAGCGGCTGAACTGCCATCGATCAGCGTCCTCAGCGGCTCCAATCTCGGTGCATACACCGCCTTCATTTAGTCAAAGTCTTCCTTGCACTTGCGGCGTTCGGCGTAGTGTTCCTTCTACCTCAACTTCTCCGTCCACCCTGCATTTTTACGCGACGGAGCTCTCGGGTCAGTCACTGTCGAAGTAAGCGAAACTGACTGTTATTCCCAAGTCACTGTGGTCTGCCACATGCGCAGCAAATGCTGCATCCTTCTCCGATACCAATGCGTCAATCGTCGCATTGTTGTCATCAAACCAATCAGGCCGCTTACAGTTTGCGCTCCCGATGGTCTCATGGGCAGCAGCTGTCACCTGGTCGCGAATTTGGTGCCACAGCTCACCCACTGTGACTATGCAGTCCACATCACATAGGCGTGCAGCCATCGCCTTCTCCAGCTCAATAAGTTACGGCACAGTACCGAGGGAGAGAATGTTAAATTTACGCCGATTCACGGCGGGAGTGCAATACATAGATTTACGAAAATATATGTACAGTTTGGTGCGCACCAATTTGTGACCAGTGCCACACTCAGCTTCACGCAGTACACGTGTCATGCGCACTTCACGCATATCACGCTGACTTTCGATGACATAGTCGAGCAGGCGAGCGTGACCACTCCGTGGATGCGTCCAACTCGCTATATCACTCGCACTCAGTGCAACCCAAGTGTTCGTGATCATCAGGCCGTGAGTGGCACACAGTGAAAGCAGCCTGTCACCGTTCGCATTCTTTGAACCAGTGCCATGCGAACCGATAACATCTGTCCGAACGGATACATCACGCCCAATGCGCGCGTTGAAATCACCCAGCAGAAATAGTCGGTCGCTCCTCTGCATAGACCTTATCACGGAGGATAGCTGGGTGTAGAATTGAACACGTGTGTCATCAGGATAACATATGGTCCGACCGTACGTGCTGAGAAAAGTGGCAAACTTATTTCTTCCGATTCGTAGGCGAACAGTCATCAGTCGCGTGCTGATGACTGTTTGGTTCATCCACGAGCTGGCCATGGAGTCGATCGGATATTGCCAATCCGAATACATGTTCCCGTGGTGCTGATGCGGCGTTGCGCACCCAGTAGAATATGTAGCCAGCACTTGCTTCATGCAACTTACCTTGTTCAGCGAGCCGAATTTCACTGAGCTCTTCAATATCAATGTGTTGGCGCGTCAGTTCCATCGCGACCAGTGCAGTGCGTCGTTCGGGGCGCTCACTGGAGTTTCGGTCCAGTAGTGTGCGCACGTTCCAGCACCCGATGCTGAGTGCTGTGCGCGCAGGCATACGATGGCATGTGGAATGGACAATCCGCCAACCGAGGTAGGTCGGTTGGCGGATTGACCATTCCACATGCAATCGTATGCCTGCGCGCAAAGCACTCAGCATCGGGTGCTGGAACGTGCGCACACTACTGGACCGAAACTCCAGTGAGCGCCCCGAACGACGCACTGCACTGGTCGCGATGGAACTGACGCGCCAACACATTGATATTGAAGAGCTCAGTGAAATTCGGCTCGCTGAACAAGGTAAGTTGCATGAAGCAAGTGCTGGCTACATATTCTACTGGGTGCGCAACGCCGCATCAGCACCACGGGAACATGTATTCGGATTGGCAATATCCGATCGACTCCATGGCCAGCTCGTGGATGAACCAAACAGTCATCAGCACGCGACTGATGACTGTTCGCCTACGAATCGGAAGAAATAAGTTTGCCACTTTTCTCAGCACGTACGGTCGGACCATATGTTATCCTGATGACACACGTGTTCAATTCTACACCCAGCTATCCTCCGTGACAAGGTCTGTGCCGAGGAGCGACCGACTATTTCTGCTGGGTGATTTCAACGCGCGCATTGGGCGTGATGTATCCGTTCGGACAGATGTTATCGGTTCGCATGGCACTGGTTCAAAGAATGCGAACGGTGACAGGCTCCTCTAACTGTGTGCCACTCACTGCCTGACGATCACGAACACTTGGGTTGCACTGAGTGCGAGTGATATAGCGAGTTGGACGCATCCACGGAGTGGTCACGCTCACCTACTCGACTATGTCATCGTACGTCAGCGTGATATGCGTGAAGTGCGCATGACACGTGTACTGCGTGAAGCTGAGTGTGGCACTGGTCACAAATTGGTGCGCACCAAACTGTACATATATTTTCGTAAATCTATGTATTGCACTCCAGCCGTGAATCGGCGTAAATTTAACATCCTCTCCCTCGGTACTGTGCCGTAACTTATTGAGCTGGAGAAGGCGATGGCTGCACGCCTATGTGATGTGGACTGCATAGTCACAGTGGGTGAGCTGTGGCACCAAATTCGCGACCAGGTGACAGCTGCTGCCCATGAGACCATCGGGAGCGCAAACTGTAAGCGGCCTGATTGGTTTGATGACAACAATGCGACGATTGACGCATTGGTATCGGAGAAGGATGCAGCATTTGCTGCGCATGTGGCAGACCACAGTGACTTGGGAATAACAGTCAGTTTCGCTTACTTCGACAGTGACTGACCCGAGAGCTCCGTCGCGTAAAAATGCAGGGTGGACGGAGAAGGTGAGGTAGAAGGAACACTACGCCGAACGCCGCAAGTGCAAGGAAGACTTTGACTAAATGAAGGCGGTGTATGCACCGAGATTGGAGCCGCTGAGGACGCTGATCGATGGCAGTTCAGCCGCTGCCTGCACACAGACTGCAGACATAATGCAGATCTGGCGGAAACACTTTGACTGTCTCTTGAACAACCGTTCAGAGATCGACTGGCCTGCATTGAACTACCTGAAACATCATGATGTGAAGACGAGTCTGGCGGACACGCCGACACTGGATGAGACGCAGAGAGCACTTGCTCAGCTGCGAAACGGCAAGTGTGCTTGGGCCGACGG